ATATATATATATATATATATATATATATAAAAAATATTTTATCTGTACTGAACAAAGCACTGGCGACAAATGGAAAACCCGCCGAAAAATGCTAACGCCAGCGTTCAACTTCCGACTACTGGACAGCAGTCTTCAAATCTTTAGTGAACACTCTCGAATACTAGTAGAGAAACTTCAACAGCACCTAACAAAAGAGTATATTGACATTGTACAACCCATTACACTCTGTGCTTTGGATATAATTACAGGTGGGTTCTGATAGTGTAAAATCTTCTTTATGTACTGACTACATATGATTAGTGAGAAATGTTTATAGTAAAGACCTTCTGGGCACTATATGTAATCATTTCTAACACCTAACTGGTTAACATGCAGTGTACACTATATGTAATCACTAGTGACATCTAACTCGTTTAAATTCTGTGTACACTATGTGTAATCACTTCTAACACCTAACTGGTTAACACTTAATGTACATTATATGTAATCATTTCTAACACCTAACTGGTTAACACGCAGTGTACACTATATGTAATCACTAGTAACATCTAACTGGTTTACATTCTGTGTACATTATATGTAGTAGCTGCTAATATCTAACTGGTTAATATTTTGTATACACTGTATGTAATAGCTGCTAACACCTAACTGGTTAACACGTACTGTACACTATATGTAATCACTAGTAACATCTAACTCGTTTAAATTCTGTGTACACTATGTGTAATTACTTCTAACACCTAACTGGTTAACACTTAGTGTACATTATATGTAATCACTTCTAACACCTAACTGGTTAATATTTAGTGTACACTATATGTAATCACTAGTAACATTTAACTAGTTAATATTTTGTATAAACTGTGTGTAATAGCTGCCAACACGTTGTGTACACAATATGTCACCACTGGTAAGTGTATTTTGTGCAGTTTTCTTTTCTTAGTTGTGTATATATTCACTTATTTCCTAATTGTAAAATATAAAATTGAATTATGAACTTTGGTTTTAAACATTTATGACTATGATAAAATGTTACTAGATTTGTTGAAGAATATTTTTAATTGACGAAATCAATACTTTTTGTTTGGCTTTGGCTGTTTAGTTAGACTTTCTAATTGTAAAGCATTTTTGACGTATAAACTAATATATGTATTATTTCTCTAAACAACAGAAGCTGCAATGGGAGTAAAACTGAAAGCACAGGACAATGACGACTCTCCATACGTTAAGGCTTTACACAAGTAAGTGTGTTTTATTTATAGTAATTGTACGCATGAATACTATCTTGCTTGTTACAGTATGTCAGAATATAGAGCAGTTTAAGATTCAACGGTTTCATAACGTGAGTGTGCTCTAAATTACTCAGCTGGTGCTCTTGCGGTTACTTTACCTACGTCGTTGTTTTATGTTTTGGCTACAGCACTGGTTAAACAACACTCAATTGTCCAGGAAACTTTGATTAAAGAATGCTAACATAGATTCAAATGTTTTATTCTATTGATCTAAAAATTATTTTGTATCTTTGTTCTGTAAGTACGAAGACACATTTCTAATCCCTCTGTCTTGTAAACATAAAGGCGCCATTTTAAGCTTTTGTTCTTTTAGTGCAAAATCACAATTCCTAACCTTACAATTAGTAAGTATAAAATCAAAAATAAAACAGAAACTGGTATCTTCCCGATTATTTTCATAGTTGATAAAGTAACATTAGTAACAATGAGATATTTTCCCTGTATTCTTTTATCTGTGATGATAATTGCAAAGCCGTTGTACTTTTTAACAATATATAAATATTATGTGTGCCCTATACGCCACCGTATATTGATTTTGTCAAAATATGTTTACTAGATATCTTAATCCCAAAACATAATTTGATCTTTTAAGCATTTTGTACTTTACCATTATTGAAAAGACTAAAAAAAGCATTCTAGTATTTATGTATTTCACAAAGAGGCATATACATAGAACTGAGCGAACATCACGTTTCAGAAGAAAATCTAAATCAGAAAGACAACCAGCCTTAATGGAAATGTGTGGTAGTCGAAGGGTTCTGTGTGAAACCCATGAGTCATCACCGCTCTAACTGCTTGAGTTGTGAAACATTAAAACTATGAATTTACAACGTCTTTTTCCGTGCATTTACATAAGATTATAATATTAATGATAAACTATTTATAAGGCGTCCCTCTAGCACGCTACTCAAGTCTCCCTCGTCACTATCCTCAGAGATTAATATTATTGAAGGAATATTGAAAGAATTTTATGGAAGAATTAACATCAACTTACTGATATTAAGGATAAAAAATCAGTACTTGTTGATTCATGTGTTTCTGTGAATTGCAACATGACCCATTCAGTGGATAACTTAGATGACATTTAAAAGAACTCACGGGACCGAAAAAATATATATTTGAACTGAGGGGTCCCGTAATAACAACATCCACCTAATGAGTCTGCAACGAACAAGGCCCAGAAGGGTGTAAAAATAAATTGTGAAGGTAGAAAGGGCACCACTTACTTTGGGCCACGAAATAATGAACGAGAGGTTATTAACTTTTCTGGATCGAATTCTAGTAACGATATTGCTGTAAGTTATACAATCTTAATTTGTTTAGACAGAGGGTGCATTACTAGAAAGTTCAAATTTGATATCAAGTTTTGTTGTACAACTTTCGAAGATAGGATTGTAAACTCAACGTTCTGTAAAGCAGTAGTGAGTAATATTAGTAGAGGTAGTTGCTAAGTTGGGATAGGAGAGAGTTATTTCAGAATAGAGTTGTTGTCAGTGTTTGCTATCACGCTATGTTGTACAAGTACGTTATTTTTTTACGTCATGTAGTACAGTTAACATGGCTTTGAACTTAGGCCTACAAGCTACAAGTGTTCAAACTTGTAATAACGTTAAAGGAGGAAATAAATTAATCTGTGACTGTTACCGGACTGGACATCGAATTATTTTCACGAGATCATTTAAAAAAAGCTCGCGAACAACAGAACTACGATAAATCAATACGTTTAGTGTGCTTAGGTAAATAATACAGTGTTTGGATTAATGAGTGTTCTCTCTTTAAAAAAATTAAAATAGCATTACGATGCTCTCACAATATTCTATATAATTTGCCATCTTATAGTTATAAATTATCACTTCAGTGATTTCACTTTGAAATAACATTTTTAATGCTTCAAATTAGCAAATAACTTCTCGTATTAAACTTATAACTGTGTTTGTGCTTCACATTAGTACAAGAATGCTCTCCTAATGTACTGATTGATTTTTGGTGTTTCAAACTACCACTCAAGTCTTGGAACTAAATTAAATCCCTAATTTATGTGTTTAGCGTCTGTGCTTTGTTTATGGCGAGGATCATGAGACCATGGTTGTGGCCTGATTTTTTCTTCAATAACTCATCATTAGGATCCATCTACAAGGAAAACATCAACAAAGTTATTGGGTATAGTCGTGAGGTAAGATCAAACTCTTCTGATTTGTTGCGTCATCGAGATCACATGACTAAAGTGACGCCACGTTTCTAGAACTATCCCGTATCTTGGCGAATGCTCTAGTATTGCTAGATATAGGGTAGTTTGGTATATATAAGAGGGGACAACGTGACGCGAGATTAAGGTAAGGTGATGCGTGTGGGTAGACAGTGAGTAATTGATCTGCAGTCAGAAGTATTATTGAGCACGTTCGTTGTTATAGCGTTTGTTTAGCGCGATTGTTGAAGTTAAGTGTATCGGTAAAGTTATATTCGGAAAGAATAAACCAGTTTTTATTAAGAAAGAACTTGTGTCGCTTAAGTTTCGTCGGAACGAAGTTACCGAAAATCAATTAACAAACGGAGACGTAACAGAACGAATGATGTAGTAGAAGTTTTGCTATAACTAATTTTCTTGAAAAGTATACACCCCAGAAAATATAAACATTAGATACAGTTTTAAGGATATCCAATACTTTATAAGCATGCACAAATATTATGAAAAGCAAGTTTGGGGGTTCTTTTCATGACATGACAGTTTCAATAAGTTCTTAAAGAGTGTTTTGAAGCCACTTTAATCCAGTTTTAGAATTTACGCTTATCATGATTTTGTTTTTTTTTAGTGGTATCTTACTTAAAGCCAAATGTGTTCATAGACTGTGCTTTGGTTCCCGATTTTACAGTTGGTTCTTATATACTTTGGTATATGTTTCTGTAAGTTTTGTGCAGGATAAAAAGTCATGTAGTTTTATATATGTAGTAGGTTTGAGAATTGTATAACTAACGATTTTTCAGATCCTTTTCTTTACAAATTAACATGCCAAGGATGACAAATTATACAAGCTTAAACAACAGTTAAGATCAAGCCACATCAATTGTTACCAAAACGTTTTCTTGGAACCTTTTGTATACTGGAATGCAAAATCATTACTAACCTTGAATTAATTATGGAAGTATGTATTTAATTTACCGAAACAGTTTTTCGGAACTATCAAAGATTTAACTAGTGTACAAGAGGCCTTGTTAGTGTTAAAATAATTGGATATAGTTTTAGAAGTTGATTCAGTGTTGATAGCCGAAGACGAAATCCAGCCTGGGTAGATGGCTATAGGTGATGATCAACAATAAATCTGTGGAAGCAATGAACTAAAATGCATTCGAAAGCTTTACTGAGGATCTTGGTAAAACTGGTGTGATGATAAGATAAAAACTAACATTGGTTGGAAATTTATTAGGTTTTAGGAAAAGTAAAATAATATAATTCTTCCAGGAATTAGGAGAAAATCGAAAACAAAAAAGAATGGTATAAAATGTAGCAAGCAGAAGAAGGAGCTTAATGGAAGCATGCGAGAGGTGACAGTGTATAATCCCGTTAGGACCAGGGGGAGTGTTGTACCTACCTCTCAGAGCCAGCTGGAGATCCTGGAGTATATTGAGTGTATTCTTATAACTATCTTCCAGAACATATGCTGCACTGGTAAGTTCAGGAAGACAATGATCAGTCAATAAAAGAATATTTGTATATTTTGGAATTCGAGAAGGTGCTGTTCCTGAGCTGTAAAGTTGACTAATATTGGATGAGATAAAAAGTTAACCTTCTCAATGAGGAAGTAGGCACAGCACCATCAACGAGAACTGAGTATATAGAGGAGCACTTTTGTTATATCAGTTTAAATCTGTTCCAGTATTGGGAATGATTTGAGTAATGTTGGAGTTGGTTGCATACTTGGTGCTATCACTGCTTCTTTAGTGCTCGTTGTTGGATATCTCTTGGACGTAATAAAATTGATGGGTAATCGATAATCCTAAATAATGACGAGGATACATGCAAGAATTTTACTGCTCGGCAAGGTAAAGCTGGTCTATGTGTTGTATAGTGGTAAGCTGTGATATGTAAGGAACTGGAAGAGGTGACAACATTTGGAAGAATGGTTGATAATGAATTAACATGATCAATAGAGTAAATATGTGATTCAGAATTGGAGGTATCTCTTTGAGTATCCAGCCTATAAGAAGGCCAATTGGTATTATTGTAGTTTAAATTGTAGTTGGTGCATTGGTAAGTAGTTTAAGTCATATGAGGAGGTGATCGGAACCTTCTGGATAACACATACTGACAAAGAGAGGTGAAGAAGCTAGATTGGCCGAAACTATGACAATATCTAGTAAGGAATTTGATTCTGGATGGCTTGGAGAAAAAACAAAACGGACAACATAGATCCAGTAATATACCACAAATTAGATTGAAACTGGGTAGATTCTGAGGTAGTTTGACCATGATAGTCAGCCAAGAAAATATAACTTCGAAAATTTCTATCCAAGTGGTAGAAGAAATCGTGAGATAATTGTACACCAAACTAAACATACATATGTAGTAGTTAGTGTAACGAACTGGAAAGAAAGTAAACAGTGAGAATAAGGTGTTGAGGAAAATTTTCTAAGGAATATTACGATGAACACAAATACAGATTACCAACCCTCTCTGCCAATATCTGAAAGATGATCACAGCAATGGAAATTGTAGCTGGTATCCGTTGGAGCCGATCCAAAGAAGTGGACCTGTTGGAGGAGCCATAGAGTGTAATGTGGCTGAATTTGAAATAAGAATGGCAAGGATTGTTCGATATATACCTTTGGCATAGGAAGGCAGGATAGCAGCTTCAAGAGAGACAGTATCAGGTGGTGGAGGATGATTTAGTTCTAGTTTAGTAGTCAGTAAAGGAGGATTGTTGGATGACATGGATTTCCAGGAGTCACTGTTGGGCCAGGAATAGGGTTTATCACGGTGTTTACTAGGATTCAGCTGTCGTTGCTCAACCATACTGTGGCATACAACAGGCAAATCAAAAGACATTTAGTACAAATGGAGACAAAAATCAATGAATGGATAATAGTTCATGTGAAGTAATAAATAAACTGGAGAAACTATAAGTAACAAGAATAATACAAAAGTGTAACTCCCCAATATGATAACTATACTCAGTAGTCATAATCGTCATTACAGTCCAGCAGTCGAACCATTGATTTTCACGTATTTCCTTTATTTTTCATTTCATTCCAGCCCAGGGGCTGGTGGATCATCAAAGGGTTGTGCCTCTCTGCAGCCAAGAGACTAATGAGTGATAGTACATAATGGGCACGTAAGACAATCAACCAATAGATGAAACAGATGGATGTTTTATGATACAGAAATGAATATTATTTATGTGTTCAGAGGCAAAACAAGTGGAGAAAGTTTGAAAGAAAAGAATCATTCAGTTATCTATAAATATATAAATGAAGTATACATGTGATTAAGATCATCAACTGGAAGTGACAAACATACAATTTTAAGAGATGATCAGGTGGTGGTAAGAGCTTCCTTGAAAAATAAACATTTTGTCTGAGGATAGCAGAAAACAAGACATTCCAATACAGAAAATATCTGCCATCGTATTTGATGTGAAGGCATCGTAGATTATATTTTCAACTTACCTTGGTGGAAAAAAATCTGTGATATTATCAACAGTTTGTCTACTGTATAATAAAGAATAAAGAAAATTGACAGAACACCAAATGATACCGACATAATACCTAAATTGATTTAGGATATAAATTGGCGAGTTTACAGTTGTTTTTGTTTTATTGGGACAAAATATTTAATTGTGATTGTGTGAAACTGGCACACCAGCCCCCCCCCCCCCCATCCCTCCCGGGCTGGAATGAAATGACAATAGAAAAATTGTGAAAAGCCTACGTTTAGCTTTCAACAAAGGAGCTGTATAATTTAATCATTCTACCTGAAATATTTTTACCTTAAAAGATGCATAATCTGTTTTTTGCAATCTAGTGTATAATACTGAATAATTAAATTTGGTGAAATATGAAATATTATCGACACACCTAAATTTAAGGTATAAAATGGTGAGTTTTAAGGACTTAAAAACCATAACGACTACATATATACCACTATTATAAAAGGCTTACTAGATTTGTTTGGTAATCTTTTCTTAGAACCCTGAGTTATTGAGCCCGGTTGATTATTTTTGCCATGTGACGTAATTTTGATTTTGATGGCTTATTTTTAGTGTTTTTCTTATTCACTTACTTTACTTTGATTTGCTTGGACTTTAGTATTTGTGATTTATTTGTTTGGACTTTATTACTGAATGTTCAGGTGTTTTCTGGACTTCTCACTATGTACAGTGTCAGAGGAGCAGCAAAATGACAGGGATATCTTCAATCTTAACCATGCTAAGCCCAGACTCCCACTGTCGCTAGGACTTCAAGAAATGTCCACTATCTAGTGCCTCTACTATTTCACGAACTGCTGTTTTGGATTTTAAATACCATTCATTGGGTGCTTCAGTTTCCTCTACTGCCATATCTAAATATACATATGCAGAGATTACCTCATTGACTTCTATTGACGTACCATCTTTTGTTTTTTCAGTTAATACTGTTCCAGCTTCAGTCAATCTAGCCACTAGTACAACCATTCAACCACCATTGGATGCCCATATTGAATATGACTCCAGCCTCTCAGTTTCCTGTATTTCTTCTTTCTAAAATGGATCCTAAGTTCTACTCAGTTTGTTTTACTTTATTTGGAGATCACAAAACACTATCTTCAGGCTGATATTCAACAGCTGATACCAACCAACAATGATATCATCATTCTAACACTCAGCTATATGACATTCTTTAGACAAAGATTGATATAACTAATTTAGGACCGTCCACTAATATTTACAAGCAACAACCATCTCCACTTAAGTCTCCTTTATTTGCCTGTGTTATTCGAGGAGTAAAGCCAAGTATTACTGAAAAAGAAATCACATTCGAGTTCTTAGAAGATTGTATTTCCACTTGATGTGCTATCAGGATCCATGGTGCCCACAATCAGACATACACGGTCAGAGTTATGGCTGACAGCAGTGACAGTATTGATCATCTTCTGCAACTTTTCACAATGCTTATTGGTCTGCTTCACGATATCACATTGCCCTGCAGTTCCACCTTTAGATTTAAATTTCTTTACTCTTGATCATGGCTACACATTTGTTGGCACACTCGAATCTCTTATTACTTCTGCTAGTTCATTTGCTATTTCAGTTTTATATTACAGACTCATCAATTGGCATTACTTCGTCGTGCATTGTATCTATCATTGTTTGATAACAGGATCGAGAATGTTTCCATATAGCTCTCCAATACCGTCAAGTATCTTGGAGTCATATTTGATAAACAAACACCTTACTTGAAAGACCCAACCTGACTGCTCTTGCACAAGTGGTTTCCTCCTGACTCCATCTACTGCAATGATTGTCAGGAAATTCCTGGGATTTAAATCTACCTCTCCTTCTGTATTCGTATAAAACCTTCATTTGACCTTGTCTATCCTATGGTCACAGTGATTAGATCTCTGCATCTGCCCCCTTTCTACCACAAACTCCACATTATGGAGCATAATGCTCTCTGGACTACTTCCAAAATGTAACAATCTAGTCCAACTAAGACACTTTATAATCATTTTTTTCTACAGCTTCTGCTATATTTCAGTGATCTATGACTTTGGTATGTTCACCACTATTTCTAAACTCATAATGTAATATTTGGAGACCTTCTCTTTCTCTTCTTGTCTCCAACCTGATGATACTCTTGCAACCTGGAGAACATTTGTCAAACCCTTATGTCACGTCCTTTCCACCAGATGATCCTGCTCATGAAAATATTCCCATGTAGAATCTTCCATACTATATCTATTCTATGGATTGACTGTTCTTTCCATGTTTATATTGTTGCTTGATACAATGGTTAAACTAGGAAAAACTAACAAACAGTGTGAATAAAAAGGAGAAACATATATGTATAAAAAAACACCTACAAAGAAATAAAATCTTCATTGTCCACTTTCATACCATATCTAGTTTCGTCTCTTAAACATCCATTATGAGCAGTCATCATATTCTTCTTATTCATCACCTGGCCAAAAAAGCGGGAGTAACCCTCTTCTGGACCAACAGCTTCTTGACTGAATGAAGTCATGTCTTACAGACTTATCATCCTTGCTCTATGTTTCTGACATACCATTTCCCTCTCTTCCCATTCTTTCTATCACTGTGATGGTGATAATGTTCTGGTATCACCAGCAAGCGGGGGTTAAATTGGGGTTGAAAGGTCTGAAGTTGAGGTACGTCTCTTGAGGATTCTGATTGGAATATCAAATTGGATCACAAAGGGGAGTCTCATTTCTTTCAAAATCACTGCATGCAAGGCGATGGCAATTCTCAACAGGATCAAGTTGCTCTAAGTACGTTCATTATATGTAGTTAACTCTGGCGACCATCCTTTATGCTCATAAAACTAGATCTATTCTGTTTAGCCCCATGTGACACAAGTTTCGTGAATGTCGTGACCCATCTATATTTAATGTTTGAGTTGAGAATATTCTGCTCCAACTCTTTCCCACCATGAACATGTTTGGGAGTCACTTTTTACAAGCATGTTACCTGGAAAGTGCATCTAATATCCTTGATTAATAAAATCACTTCTCGACTTAAGCTTCTTTGTTGCCTGTTCGGTACCTTCTGGTGTTTAAAACCTACTTTGCTTATTTATACATATACAAAGCTTTCCCCCGACCTTGTCTCACTTTCGGTCACACTGCGTGGATTTCTGCCAGCTCTTCCTTTTTTCTTCGTTTATAGATTTTGGAACGTCATGCTCTCATATTAGCATCTCACGTCCTGCTACGTAGTCCCACTGAAGACCTTTATGACTGTATTCGATTTCCTAACATATTTGCTTACCTCAGGAACCTTCAAATTCACCACCTCACATGAAGCACAAACAACAATGACCATGTGTAACTTATCATCGTGATAATATATAAATAAATAAACATACAAATGCAAAGATAAATAAATCAAATATCCTTATATTACTTTCCATTGTGATATACAACTGGAAAAATTTCCCCTTTCGTAGCGTCTCCATTCACTGAATATACTTTCCCCTATTTATCTATCATCTTTTCATTTCTACTTTTTCTAATCATATCTCGTGGTTAAAAAGAGGGCGCAACCCTCTAGTGGCTCACCATTCTTTAGCTGGAGTGAAATGATACTTTTATACTTATGTGTTTGGTTTGGCCCGG